GCCGGGGAGCCCGGTGGGCCGGGGCGGCGCAGGCGGGAGCAGGGAGCGCTGCCGAGGAGGCGGGCTGCTCGCCCACCTCGCGTATATTTGTTCCTCCTGGTTTAAATTGCGTCTGTATATAACTTCTCTGGTAGAAAAATGACGGAGCCTTAAAATGGTTCGGGGCCTGTTCACGTAATAACAGCAGTAACAGGCAGTAGTAATAATTTACCCTTGAGACCATCTGCCAGCTCGCTCATAAGTACCTGGGCTGTTTTTGGAAATGTATGAAATCACTTTAACAGCGGCCTGCTTGGAAAGAAGTATTAGTCACAGAAGGAGCTAGTAGCTGGGTGATTAATGGCTTGCATTCGAAGAGAATTGGACGAGTTAGCTTTGAAGTGCGGGGTCTGAGGGTGCGGCTGTGCTGCTGCCCATGGGGAGGCCCTGCCTCGCCTTTGTATGGGCACTGTGTAGTTGGGTGACCAGCAGCGCCGGAGGGTACTAAATTTGTGCTTTTTGGCAACGAATAGTTATTAGGTTGGTGTAGTGTAGAAGTGTGCCCTTCCCTGCCAACCTGGGTGCTCTAGCAGCTGTGTGGTGAGCCAGTTCAGGAAGCTGATCTGGCTAAAAATTAATAGTTTCTTTTTGTAGTTAGTTTTTTATCTGGCTGAGCTTTCTTTGGTCGTCAAAGGACCACTCCTGACTTGGAGTAATTATTAGCTAACCTGCCTCTTTTTCTTTTTCCCTCCCTTTGTGGTAATTTAGTGAGCATCTTCCTAAACTGTTGCAATGAAGTATGGCAGTCTGAGGTGGGTTGGGTTTTGGTGTTTTTTTGGCCCCACTGAATCTGGAAAAGAATATTTAGACACAGTCTTAGCATGACACTGTAAGGTTTCAAATAGTATTTTATCCAAACTATTTTTTGTTGTGTTTAAAGTGGACTGTGAATTGATCTGGACAGAGATTTTTCCATTGTTACATGGCTATGTATGCTTCCAGTACTTCATGTGCACAATGATGTAAATATTTTGAGGCCATAGCTTGCTTTACAGTTTTACTGTCCTGAATGGGTATTTACTAGTAATGAGGAAATGAAAGGGTTGTGGAGGTCAAAATTTGAAGAAATTATTGCTGACTATCTCCCCACGTGCTCTCTGGGATGGGATTCACAAACTGTTATGTATACTACTTATAAGTGGTACATAGCTAGTTACAAAACTAGGAGATGCTTTTGGTAGTATTCAGCAGAAGAGAGGGGAGGAGGAAAGTATAGAAATCCTTGCTTTGGCACACTTAAGACTGAAATTTGCAGATCCTCTGCAGCAGAAATAGTAATAATACCAAGTTAACATACAGGTGTGACTTAGGAAGAGTGTATGCCTTATTTTCAACAATCAAAGTAAAAACTTGTGTTTGCACATTTTCCCGAATTATTTTTTATATATGATTTGGAAATAAGTTCTATTAGACACTTAAAATTATTTAAATTTTTTTTTTACATTTATACTGGAAAAATAGTTTAATTCTTCCTGTATATTTAACAACAAACATGTGAAATCCATAAGCTTTAAAACATCAAATGATTAGAGCTAGAAAAAAAAAATGAACCAGATCCAAGCTTATATGTTTTTTTGTATGACTAAGAAAATACCTAAAAATTTGATCAAATGCCAGGAAAACACGTTTAGGAAAACTATAAGGCCATTATTTAGGTATGATGGATATAGGATCCACTTTGAGAGGTCAAAAGATTACAGACTAGTCCCTATAAAATAACATGTAACTTTCAGAAACAGCTTTCTTAAAGAAATGTGGCATAATCCAAATGAGGGGTCATCACTTATGTTTAATGTACTCCTGAATTTACCATCTGTTCCTATGCACTTGCAAAACATCACATATACCTATATACTGTAGTATACACTGAGATTAGTGACACCTACCTGAAGCAAATAAAAATGTGGTCTGATCTACTAAAATCTTGCAGTCATGAGTCCCTTACTTAAAAAAAAAAACAAAAAAAAACAAAAAAAAACCCCAAAAAAACATTGGTTTAGAGAATGCATAGTGTAAATGGCAATAGATACAATTATGGATATGTACATATATGAGCACTGCTACCAATCTAATTTAAAATGCAGCATTTTTTTGTGGGTGCAGCCTTTGTGTTGATGAAACCTGTTCAGAGTCCCAGAACAAAATCTTAAAAAAGCTGTGTTGTGGTAACTGCAATCAAAGTGGTTTTTTAATTTGGTCAATGCTATTGGAAGTGAGTGCGTGAATATGAAATCTAATGTGTAAGTGAAAAAACCCCACCCCACCATCACCCCCAGTTGTTGGAGTTCTTGTGCCAGTTCTACTTTTGCAGACATGCAAGTGATCTTGCTTATTGCATTGTCAAAGATACCAACAATCATCATGGAAAATTATTAGAATTTGCTTTAATTCTTCAGAGTAGATAAACAGAAAAACTGAGTGAGAAAAACCTTTCTGTGATGCTCTTGTTTATCTGTCTTAAAATTTTTTAAATAGTGATAATCTCTTCTGTACACAATCTTTCTGCTGCAAAGTATTTTTTACTTTAAAGTTCATTCCAAGCGGAAAGACAAAGTATTAAGGATTAAAACAAGCAGCTCACAGATTTTTTTTTTTTAATTTTTTTTTACCTGCTTTCTCCTTCCCTCTACCCCAAATTAGAAACCCATTTGGCTAGTTTTATCCTGTAATTACATCATAGGCCTGATTCTTCGCTCTCATGTGTCTAGCATTTACACAGTGGGTGTACCAAGCCTGTAGTCAGTGTCAGGCCACAGGAACAAATATGACTGTGAAGCTATGAATAATGGTGTGGATGACAGTTGTTGCTAATAGTGTTAACCTTGGGAGATAGTGGAATGAGCCTTGACTCATGATTTTATACCTCTGTTTTTTCACTTGTTTTAAGATTCGCTTAGCATCTGAAGAGGCCCTTAGACTAAATTCAGGCTAGCGCTAGATTACAGAGAGGGTTCAGGCTGGAATAAGATTTCATGTGTAATTTCTTCCTTCATAATACTTGATGATAAAGAGAAAGTAAAATGTTTTAAATTAACAATACCATTACTGTGTTTGCTGTGGCAGTGTCTATAGCCAGGCTCAGTGCTAGTAAACAGGCAGCTTATCAGGCTGCCTACAAAGGATAGTAAAACCATTCCCATTATCAGATTAGCTGGTTGTATTAGGGCAAATCCATATGCAGAGCAGGTCACAGCAACTATTCTGCCATGTAATATTTCAGTCTTGATGTTGGAAAAAGGCTAGGAATAACACCATGGGGATATTATCTTTAATTACTGCTGTCAAATTTGCCTATTTAAGATGATCCCATCTGTTTGCCTTGGCTTAGATACCAGTCATGGTAGAAATGGTAGTGGCTGAGAGGAGGGTTGTGCCCTGTGGCCTGTAACCTCTGGCAAAGAGGCAGCATGCATAGACTGTCAACATACAGACCAAGAACCAGTCATGTCCCGATGTGATCCTTAAACATGTTTGTTGACTTCAGCGGGTTTTGTGTTGGGTATGTGAGGTTGAACAGGTAATCTGTAAATGATTTTGTAAGGTTGTTACAGCCTAAGGATGACTTGTGAAATGGAATTACTGATATTCCAGCCTCTTAAACTTATGATATTTTATTAAATATCCTTTATAAGTAATGGGGAGCCCAGTAAAACTGTAAGAGTTAAATTATATTTTTAAGTCAAGTGAGTGACTGTCTGAATTATTAAACTTCTTTGGCATTATTACTGAAATGCATGTATGTGGTTTCTGCAAACTAGGAGTTTTCTCAGAGCATAATCTTGGAGGGGAGTATGTTCTTCCTGTTTCAGGATGATAG